CACTGTTTACCGTCACAATGCAGTCCTGGATGCTGCCAGACTGAACAGTGAGCAGCACTTGTAGGGGTCTACCTCTGACCCCCTAGGTCCCGTGTGTTTGTGCGCTACCAGCTGGTCTGTCGGGTTGGGGTAAGAGGAGAAAAAACACTGGTACTGGAGAGAATTAAATACTGCAAGTAATACAAAAAATAGATTCATGTGGAGCTGTGGCAAAAAGTGAGCCCATTCATTAGAGGTGGGCGATATATATCATTTGCGATAGTATCGTCATTGTTGTTTTGACGATGTGCAAATTTCCATTATCAAGTATTTAAATTACTTCGCCAAAAATATTGAAACGCATGCATAAACTCCTCACATCCACTTAATACACGGTGCAGCAACGCTCTCTACAGCATGGCAGGATTCAGTCACACGACTAGTAGGCCTACGTGATCACATGGCGTGATCACATGACCTCTCGCTAGCATCCTCCTTGCAACAGTTTAGCAGCGCGTTGTGATGGTAGAGAGAAAACGCAAGCACCTCCTGTCCCTGAAGCTACCGGTACTTCAGATGATTTAGTGCCAAGACGTGGGTCTTCCTCTCTGGCATGGAAATGTTTGGTTTCAAAAAGACTGAAAAGGGTCTGTGTCCACCAAACAGGTTTTTAGTGCTAGCAGCGCCTATTTTGAATACAAATCCTATGAGCTTCAGCGTTCAGAGCGCTAAGCGTCTTCAGCGGTAAAAAGATGTCAGCGGAGACGTTTTTTTAGCACAGCACTCAGAGCGCTTCAAGTTGAAATCTGTTCAACTTCTAACACCGCTGGGTGCTCGGAAAATGAGGTTTCGAGCGCTCTCAGCGCTAAAAACGCGTTTGGTGGACACAAGCCCTAACTCAGACAATTCCAATCACATTTTAAAGGATATCGACTGATTATCGTTATCGCCAAAATCCCCCAAAATAACGAGATATTATTTTTTGCCCATATCACCCACCCCTACCATTCACACATTTACAGTAGTTACTTTTTTCCATTTTGCCCCTTTAAGAAAGTGAGCAACCGATCTAAACATAGGGAATAGGCCATTTGGTTTTACCATTTCGGTCCAGAACAAAATATCTCGACATGTACTGCCATGGAGACTTTAAGGGGTCGCAGAAATATATGCTGATTTAACAATCACATATGCACTTTGGGGTCTATGAAACAACTTGTAAACGGCAAACGGCTGCCAATATGCACATCCAGCATACACAGAGCAACATAAGTACTTTGGAGACGGGTATCTTGCAACCTAACAAATGTAAATCCAACATTCCCTCAGATTTCACCTCTGTTTTAGTAAACTACCGAGAAAAATATTTGTCTCTTTAGCTGCTAAATGCTACACTGTGTTTATCTGCAGTTACAGTGACAGGAACAAAGTACTATTGTGCGTTGGCTGGAGAAAACACATGATGTAATAAGTAAATGACAATGGATTGTTTTTGATTCAATAATTTTATGTACTCCCTGAATACGATATAATATGGCATATCTAAATGTAATGTGAAAGAAGGTTCACAAAGCACTGTGCTTTGCATTACCATGACCTCTCAGTTAAGTCACACAGATACATGTGTATGTATAATGTTAACTCTGCTATTGTGCTTAGTTATTAGCTCATTAGTTCTAATTATATTTTCTCTGACAGTAGCATGCACACAGGAGACACTTGCCCCTTTGCACCTACGCATACACTCTTGTACGTACCATATCACACACACACACATACACACACACACACACTAACAATCACACCATTGTTCTACTTGATTCCCCCTGACTTTTCTTGCAGAGGTAAGCTATGCCCTCAAGCCATGTTGGAAAGGGTAGCTGGGTCCTATTAAATTAATAATGAAATATGTTGTACACAGTGCAGGGCAGGACACAACACACACCCTCTGTTCAGGTCTAGAACATCAAGAAACCTCTACAGGTGCTCTGTGATGTGTCAGTCCTTTTCCCTCTCGAGAATTTGGCTACACTGAGAAACCTTTCAAAGTACACGCTCTCATTCCTGCTGTCCTCCAGTGCCAAAAAACAAAATGCATTAACTAAAAGCATCAGTGAATATAAATTGATTTTTCCAACCAACATTCCTCTTTCTGTCAGATATCAACTCAAAATGGTTTCCCAAATGGGGCAACTTAAAGCTTTTCAAAACTTAAGGTGCGTCACAATGCATTTGTGGCCAAAAAAAGTGTAACACAAAATCATTTGCAGTCCTTTTAGGGTGCTTATTAGGAGGCTATGAGGGAGGTGGCATTTCACCCACGAGAGCATTAAGCATGTTATTGCCAAAGGGTGAAGTACTGCTCTTCAGACTAATAAAAAACCCATTCAGCTCAAGAAGGAGAGATGGGTGAAGTGCCTTTAGCAGCCCTGTTTGGAGGGCAGAAGAGAAAAAGACATTTGGGCCAGAATCTTAAAGCCAATTCATTTGTACTAAGTAATCAGTACATATACATTTTTGTGTACTCATTTTGTCAAAAGTGTAAGTACCAAATAGAAGACATATACGTTTCTGTGATAACACACCCTACATTTGAGATGTTAATGTTGAAGCTTTTATTCTTTTCAAGCTAATACCCCAACACACATCAACACACAGTGCCTGAGAGGAGCACAGCACATCCTTGTCATTGCTAAACGTATCCAGCTTCCCCATGTCTCATTCATACATAGTTCTATATACTACATAGTTCATAGTTTTATTCATTTATTTCTGACGTAATGTGAAGAGAATTTCAACAAATGAAAAAAATGCTTCTGAAATACATTACCTACCATAGCTTTAACTTTAAAGTTTTTTCTGCATAATACTATAAAATATTGGAGTTGGAGTTGACAGTTGGAACAGTTGTTTTTGCCATATTACTCAGAGACTGTGTCACTTACAGGCAAAATGTTTGTTTACGGTATGGTGGACATGTCTGCTCTTGTTCTGTTTTGTGAACAGACACCACATAATTATATGAAAATGAACCGGTGTGCCACTTTACAACTGTATCGCTGATGCGTAACAATAGACCTTTCTCACAGCAGCCATTTTGACATGAAAACACAGGTGTTACCAATGGTAGTAATAAGGCAACATTCCATTCAGGTCAAACAGATTCTCGGGGCTGCTATTCTGCATGTTGGCTCACTAGGAACGCCCTGATATGCTAAAATGAACCCCTGTGATTACTGTTTCATGTCAAAATGGCCGCCTTGAAAAATGTTGTTAGGTGTTAGTTAGTTGTTACAGTACTTAAATGCAGCAGTTACTTGTTTGTGTGCGAGCAAAAAACTACTTCACATTATTCCTCCTGACAGAGCAAGACACCTGAATAATGACTGGATGAAAATGTCATAGTCAGGTTTAAAATAATAGATCAAATTTACTTTTGGTTGAACAGGGCACACAAATGGCAGTCTCCTGCATTAAAGTCCTGTGTTTGACCCATCCATCCATCCAACTCAACCTCCCCTGTTGCTCGTTCTACTCTCACCTAACATCCTGAATGCTTCCTGGAAGAAACTACCATTAGCTGTTCCGTTGTTACAACCGTACCACAAATGCTGCCTCCGCTTTCTTGTTCAAAAGCTAAATGGTGTGCTCAAGCCAAGAACGCTTTGCCAAAAAACCATCAGGGGGTTATTCTGTAAAAATAGATTAGTATTTAGTTGTTGGTAAGGAGGAAAAGTTATTGGAAAAACACTTGCACAAAAGTCGATTTTTGCTGATATCTTGAAGATGACAGCTCTGCACACGATTATTTTTCAAAGGGACTAGGATGACGGGCATATTTGTGTTTGCATGATGAGGTCACAGATGCATGCGTACATTTAAAAAGGGTGTTACAAATGTGACAATTTTGACATTTTGATATTCTTTTGAAAAATATATGTAAATATCTATATATATAGCTGCACTATCATTATACACAGAAAGTGACAACAGTATTACATTTCCGTTCTTTAAGCGATCAGACCATTGTGAGAGAAAACAAATATTGCTAATTAGGGCTGTTTAATTTTTCAGGCAAGACATTTATATGCAGTTGTGAAAGTGAATGTAGAAATGACTTACTCATCTGGAGTCTCATACTGTAATTGTACATTTTATTTCTATGGCTTCAGCACTTTTTGTTTAGACACTTTCCACTTTTTCAACACCTGTGCTCTTGGGTCAGGAATTTTAGCATGCCTCTCTCTCATGAATATTTCATTCTCTCAGTTGATTCCCATCTTCCAGGGGACAAACAACAGACCACTGAATTCAAATTCTGCTGCCCCAAATCTGCCACACAATGAGAACAGGTGACAGGGAAGCTGTAAAGCATCATTCGCCATCCATGTTTCGAATCATAAGGAGCTAGAATGAGAACAGCCTCTTGATCTGTTTGCACGCTGTTATTCACAGTAATGAATAATAATTTAAACCTCCAGGTATGATTTGTGTTGTTTGCTAATGTTTTCTTTTACCTAACAGGCATATTTTCTACTCTGTTTTCCACCATGCATGGGAAAGGGCTGGTGCTGCACACGTCAGCTACTGTGCTATTTAAAAAAAACGCTTCCTTGGGCATGTTAGAAGATTTGTGTCCACCTCTGCAGAAGTAGAACGGCGTGGCTGCCAGAATGAGTTACTTGTAATGACAATGAAAATCCCTGTTATTGCGCATCGCATTTGTGGTCCATCCTTTTCCCCCGTGCTGCTGAAATGATTCTTTCAGCCCTCTGCAAATGGGTTTTGTTTGATAACCACATGCCATACTTTCCTGCAAAGCTCCATGAATAGAGTTCATTTGTCATTCAGTTTCTCCACAGCGTTACATCAGGTAGCTGTCAGAGAATCTGGCAGCACAGTGTTTAGTGACGGCTCTAGGAGAAAACTTCGAAATGAACAATATATAAAGTATTAAATTATGTTTCCTCAAAAAACAGTTTGTCCAAAGTGCGTCAACCTCTCTCCCTCTCTGTCCACAGAGACCCCTCAGAAGGACGGTGAAGACGCTGCCTCCTCGTCGGACTCAGCCTCAGACTCCGCCTCCTCTCTGTTCGACCACTGGGGTCACGACCTAGGCCCAGAGAGTCGAAGGGTTGCCCTCAAGAAGTTCCGTTACTATGGCTACAACGGTTACCTTAGCGACCGCATCTCTCTCACCCGGCCAATCCCAGATTTACGACCGGACGGGTCAGTCAGCTGATTGATGTGTGCACTGTTTATTGATTAACCGATCAAGATGCATGATGCTGGTATTTTTCTGTATGGATTCCAGCTCTAATGGAATTATGTTGTTTAAGCCTTGACTGTGTTAAAGTAACAAAGCCTCCGATTCTCTCCGTTTACCTCCCCAGGTGCAGAAACATGACTTATTCATCAGATCTTCCTCAGATCAGCGTCATCTTCATCTTTGTCAATGAAGCCTTGTCAGTGTTGCTGCGCTCTGTCCACACAGCCATCCAGAGGACTCCATCACACCTGCTCAAAGAGATCATACTGGTCGATGATCACAGCAACAGCCGTAAGAATCATAAAACTTCCTCAAAATTTCCCTTTTATTATATGTTTGTGCTCTGGTCTGGATGCAACCCAGTTCAGACAGGTGGACAGAGAGAGATAAAGACAGAGATGCACGGCAACAATATCAACTACAATAGTATAAATATGGCTAATGATGATGATGATGATGACAGGGATGATAATAGCCATAATAATGATGATAATAATAATAACAATAATCTTAGCAGTGGGCAACGAGCAGGACCACAGCAGCAGGCGCAATCACGATCCTCGATCACAACCACAGAGCTTACACTCATTTATACCTCCGTCCATCCACAAGGAGCAATCAATTAGAGGTGGGATTGAAAGGTGTATCCCCTTTAGATATCTCTCTTGGCAGCAATACTTTTTCTTGAAAGCAATTACCTCTTGGCCATTTGTTTTCTGAGGGAATTTCAGTCTTATCAATATATACAGTATTTGCCTATTAAGTGATTTTCTGCATCATTTTTTACTCCGTATTTTCAGGGTGTAGTGATTCATGCCTTTTCGAGGAAAACAAAACTACCATAGTAGCAGCATGATCTGCCCTTTGTGTTTTTGAAGGGTAGTTTGGTGACCAACTTGACAGTTTATTTGCACAAAGCGCAGGGGTAAACTGTGAGAAATGGGAGGTAATGTGTGGCGGAGTGTGGTTAATGGATGTGTGTGGGAGTTTTCACAACCAGCTATGTGTGACCGCCCTGATGTGGGTGTGATATGAATATTAGTGTCCCTTGTTACACGCAGACTGGCAGTACTTAGGAGTTGTTGTGATGTGTTATTTCAGCAGCTGCTGGTTCCACCCTTGAGAGTTGGATCGCTGGAAGCAAAGAGAGCTCAGAGTGACACAAAGCAAAGTTCAATACAACAATGTTCAGAAGTTGTAATGAAGCACACAAGATTATATAGCCAAGAACCAACAAGTTATGTAAAGCTTGAGATATGATACATCACTGTAATGTAATAAAGTTATTTTAACTCAAAATATTGTTGAAACATATTACATAAACATATTAAACATACTATGTAACACAAACTCAATTTGTAAGTTTAAAAAATTCTTGATGAAGCAGTTTTCACTAGTAATTTTGATTGACACTAACTTAGTTTAGCAAACACTCTGTCATGGCTCTGCTCCCCTCCTGCTCCTTTTGCTCCTCCTCCTTCCCTGTGTGTGTGTGTGTGTGTGTGTGTGTGTGTCTGATGAGGGTGCGGCCTCTATTCACCTCACCTGTGTGCTGTCTCACCTGCGCTCTATCAATTCATCAGCCTCAGCCTTCAAGAACCCCGGTCTTCCTCCCATTCATTCCCGGATTGTTCAGCCAACTTGGTGGTAACTTTCGTGGCTCCTCTCAGTGTTTAGCGTACTCTTACCGTACTCCCCCCGGTGTGTGTGTGTGTGTGTGTGTGTGTGTGTGTGTGTGTGTGTGTGGAATAAAGACCCTTAAACCGTCCATCTGGTCTGTGTGTCTGCTCCTGGGTTCAGTCAACTAGCCCTGACACACTACTGATTAAGTACTTTTTACTAGGTATTTCGTTTTCACAGTAAAAATAAAAATGAATGATTAAGAATTGATTTAATTAGCCACCTTCATTTACCGCCTGCTTTGTACATCCCGTCACTCAGGGACGTATGCAGACAATTTGAGGGGCTGTTGTTCTAACCTGCAAAAAGGGGCAAGTCTCCACTTGTCATGTGAGTCTTGAGTCTAACGCCAAATGGTATAATCAATGGGATGCATTGAATAAAAATCTCCACATATGCTTCTGAACCATGCTCAGCTTTAAACGTTTGCAATATTGCCTGCCTATATGTTAGCCAACTAGCCAGCTAGTTAGCTTATTACCTAGTTAAGACTGGTTCATGTGACAGCACTATATAAAACAATATTGTGTAACGTGATTCAAGCCTGTCACACTTTGGACGATATGGTGATTTAATTAGTTCTAACATTAGCAATTATATAGCACATATTTATGCAGCCAAAACAGCAAAAATACAACTCCAACCACAACAGCCTCCAGAGGGGCAGCTCAGCCAAAGACTGCTGTTGTTTGGCCAACTTTAGCTCACTGCTGTCACTGGTCTTTCTTCCAACACACCACTTTCCCACATTAAACTAGAAATGTTGAGTGGGACTTAGTTGCTCTGAATCCTGTAATAATTATGTTTGTGGAGCCATAGTGATAGCAGGTTTACTGCCGGGAGGTGTTTATGTATATCTGTACCGGGACTTCGAATATATGTGGTACAATTTAACTTATAATGAGCTTAAAATACTGTACTACTTAAAATACCACACTCTAGCAGTAGTGATTTCTAATCTCTTCTATTGATTTCTAATCTCTTTAAAATATTCATATAGCCTAGTTACTCGAGATTTTGTTCTGTTGTATTTACACCTTGTGGCATGCCCAACATTATCTTTGTATCGTCTTCTATCTTGGTTTTTGTCTTTTTATATAATATTTTATGTTCTTTTGTAGCAACTCAACATTGAGTTTATGGTATTATTCTCATATGATATCTGTATAATATGAAGTTACTGTAGGAAAAGTACTGTAGGAATGCCACAATGCCACCAGAATACATAGCTACAGGAAGATGGCATAGCCCACTGCTTTAAGATATTAAATCTTTTTATATATATTTTTACCTCACAGAATACAGCAGTAAGTGTTTAAAAAAAAAAAAAAAAAGAAACAGTGCAATTAAATTTATGGTAAAAAGTAAGCATGTGATCTTGGTTTGGCTGTATTTGGCTGATGCCTCTGCCATGTCCATAAATTATTGTTTAAAATTTAAACTTGAAGAACTAACCTGCTGCTTACAACACTGCAGACAAATAATAGATGAATAAAAAGACGATTTAATTCGCACCAGTTTGAGAGTTTTTCCTCACATTATAGGGCAAAGATCTATAGTTGAATAATTACAGTAAGTACTGACTCCTGTAGGTAAGCTACAGCGTAGACTGTCTATATTTTATATCCCACTTACTTTATATTCTGCTTTGGATGGTGCACAAAGATCAGGACGTGTGCAGGCATTAGCTGCATCACTGGTGTATGAAAACAGATTAAAACTTAATACAGCAGTCGCAGGCGAGGCACGGGTGCAACTTGTCTGTTAGAGGACCGGTGTTAATAATTGCATCACGTACTATGGAACATATTTCACTTCTGCCAAATCTATAATTACCATTATGAGAAATCTGTCCGCCACCACTGTCGCCCGCAGATTTTATGGGTCTTTCACTGCTCCTCTGTTCTTCAATAATACAGTATATCAGAGTTTAGTCATGGTAGCTGCGCAGGGTTGAATGCTGATTAGTAGAGCAGCCAGGGGGATAAATAGATTCAACATTTACCTCAAATCATTCCCTCCTAGTGCATTACAACTGCTTAAGTTAAGCATTCTCTAGGAAATGTGATTTAATGCTTTTGCTTTGCGGTGAATAACAACTGCGTGGTGGTAATTCATAATGAAGGTAATTGATGGAAGATAACTCTGAAAGTGAAAGTGCGTGATCATTACTATAGCTTATTGATTGTACATGGTGTAATTATGACAAATGAGGGTCAACTGAGGCTAGATGAAGGCAAAAGTGGCAATGCAGTCACACTCATTATGCGTTAAATTAGCACAGACATCAGGGGTTGTATTCATAAAACCTCAAAGTGCTGTTCAAAGATCACTGAGCCATGCAAACCTCCATTAATGTCACAATGACATTACTTTGAATTACTTCATCTCGCTGCTAGCCAAATCTCTATATCACAACTTATACCAATTCTACAGTTTATTCAAAATTAGGTCTGCAAGTAATAATTATTTCCACTATGATTTAATCTAACAAATATCTTTTTAATGAATGGATTAAATGTTGGGGCTGTACAATGTCAGACGATTGTGAAAAGAGCCAACCACAATTTATTCAGTATATTTTCAGACATACTTGCTTCGTGGCTCTTTGGTCCACGCTGAAGTATCTCAAACATATCTTGTGAATTGCCATGACATTTTGTAGACAATATATCCAATGACTTTTCCTCTAGTAGCCTACCATGGGGTTGGGTTTTTTTGCTGGTTTCTGGTGAAATGTGCGAGATGGGATGGATTGTAATAACTTTAGTGACTCCCTGACTTTTCATGGTGCCATCAGGTCACATTTTCTATTTGTCCAATACCTGCAAAAATAATGCTAACATACTAAACTGGGATTGTGAACATTGTAAACTTGATACCTGCAAAGCACATCTTACCATTGTCATTGTGAGTATGTTGCTGACAGTAGCATATAGCTCAAAGCACAGCAAAACAGGGTGCTTACAGGGTAAATAGTGTATAATAAACCTTTGCACATGCACGTCAGTGAACAGGAAAGATTAAATGTGAATTCACCCAGGATGGTGCAAAAGACGTGTCCATATGAGTAGAAAATGACGTGCGTGCACATCCCAAGGCTTTATGATTCTGATTCATAAACGAGACGAGAGGGGGGAAAAAGAAATCTGCTTTTGTGAAATAGCCCCCGGTCACTGTAGGAGAAGATGCATCAATCTACTTTCCACTGAGTCTTTCCTAACCATCTTCCTCTGTCAGTCTGAGCCCAGCAGTTCTTTTATGAAGTTTTTGTAATGGACAGAAGGCAAACAGTGCTCCTGCTGTTCAGACAGTCAGCTACATTTGAGTAAAAACATATTTCACAGCATGGACCAAACATCTGAAAATTAATTGGGAAACTGGAGGTGCGCTTGATTTAATGACTTGATTTTTTATGTTTGGAAGTAATCTCACATGTACGTGTAATACAATAAGGTGCTCTTCAAATACTCCCAACTCCAGTTTTAAATGAGCCCATCTTTCTTCCAGGTCAGCAGCAAACTGTGGCTCATTAAAGGAAAACAGAGAGACTAGTGAATCCAGGCTGAGGGTAATAATGAATAGAAAGGGGACGGCAGCCGCCGTAGCCTGCGGGCAGGATTACAACACAGAGAAATCACAACGAGGAAATGAAGATGTTCGCTGTTCCACTGTGTGCAGTCTGTGTGTGTCTGAACTGAATCCCTTTATGTGTGTCTGTCTGTCTACCTGAATGTGTTCAAGGCGTTTATGAAGTCACTAAGGAAGGAAGGAAGAAAGGAAGGAAACCATAATGCCGAATCTTACAACATAGTCCAAGACTGTGTATATGTGTACCTTATCTGTGTTGATAATCTGACAGTATACCAGTTATTTTTTAATATGAACCCTCTAGGCCTCTCACATCATCTGTTAGCATATGCTAACTGTGTCCGTAGTATAAAACAAACGTAACAAATCACTGTTTCTGCAGAAGATTTCACAAACCCTGGGCTGATAATTCTGAATATTATGGTTTTTTTCCCAGCCTTTTATTCCATTATACATATTTTTGGAAGTAGACTACATTTTAGTAATTTTAGTTTTCAGCAAGCAGCAGAGCTCTATGGCAGTGTTGGTCAGTCAGTCAGTTGTCTTTGGTCAGACCTTTTGGATGGATTGGTGACTTCCTCTATCATAAAAGTTGTCCAGTACTTTCGGTTTATAGGCTACCTACAGAACTACAGACATTACCACAAGCCTCAGTTGTACTTTGTGTTCAGTGTTAATTAGCTGCTACTAATGTATATAAACATTATAGGCCTACCTGCAAAATATTAGCATTGCCGTTGCACTGTAAGTGTGCTGTGAATATGCTAGCATTTAGCTCCAACATTGTGCATAAGTACGGCCTCACAGAGCTGCTAGTTCATATATTGTTGTCTTCCTTCTTCTTCTCTGTTATTCTTTTTCTAATGTTTTAAATTATTTTCTATATAAATTTCTGCTTACCTAAATCTCCTGTGTAGCCTAAATAAAGCTTGCCCTCTCCAGCTTTCCCTGTCTTCAATAATTCAATATTTTCAGTCGCACTTTATTTTAAAAAGAACGTCCATGTTTCTACAACCTGGGTTTTATCTTTGTTGATTTGTAGATCTATTATTCCTTTCCTGACCATCTTCATCGCTATAATGTGAGAGCACAGCTTTACAAAGGAGTGCAGGGGAGCAACCACTGGAGTGACTTTGAGTGATTTAAACAAGACCACACAATATGGCCTAAACTATGTGGACACCCAAGCATTATACTGATTGTTGAATACCTCATTCCAAAATCATGTGCATTCATCTGCTGCCGTAATAACCACTGTTCTGGTTTCAGGCTTTCCACCAGATTTGAAACCTGGCTCAAGGGATTTGCTCACTTTCATCCTCAAGAGCATTAGCGAGGTCAGCAACTGGTGTTGCACAGTTGCTGTTCATATTCATCCCAAATGTGTTGGGGTTGAGGATGGGGTTGAGGTCAGCACTCTGTGCAGGCCAGTCCAGTTCTCCGATATCAAACTTGGAAAACTTTATGCCTGGGGGTACTGTTATTCTGAGATAAGAAGGAGACCCCCAAAACGGCTGCCATAAAGTTGGAAGCACACTGTTCAAAATATCACTGGATGCTGTATTGCACTTTCACAATGTTGGGAGGCTTGCCAGAGACACGTTAAAGAGGACAGGAGATATCCTGACTTTTAGTTCTAAGTATGGGTCTAGCTCCAAAAACACTTCCTATAATCCAAATAGCATTTCTGTTAGTGCTTGGTAAATTCACATGTCTGTCAAATGCCTGGCCCCCGCAGTTTGAAACTAATCCTTTTTGTGAAACATCTGTAGTATCGATAAACTCCAAGATAATTCCAACAACATCATCAGGGTTATTTTCTCACACTAGACAGATCCTCCCAGAGTGTGTTAAGATTCCCCCTAAATTAAAAAAAAAAAGGACCAAGCCCCAGATCAAAAGTAAACAAAAATATGTAGACATGGTTGTCGACATACTTTGGGCAGAAAGAATATCTTGCATAGTATATCCATTGTAAACATTGGTTAGATCTTGCAGAGCTAAACTTTCTTGTTCAACCCGCACAGTCTGATCAGCACTGCATCCTTTCTGCTGCACTACTCCCTGCTGCTCAGCCTCCCCCTGCACTAACATTACTTGCATCTGGATTTATGTAAATTCAGCACTTTTGTCCTTTCAATATGGGCTTCTGTTCATTTAATTGTTGTGTATCCCACGCTCTGCCCAGGGGTTCATGAAATGTGAATGTGTATTATTGTTGCAACATATAGATAATACCTTTAATGAGCGTCAAAACCGAAATGAATTGGGTTTGTAAAAAAATGTTTTAGCCAGTTCGAAAGATGGTCAAAGCTTATGTTGTGAAAACAGGGAATTCTCCCTGGGCCAAATGTGTTAACAGTACTCAGAGTGCTTTTCCTGGGTGACATGGAGCTGAGGGGGTTTCTGTGGAGCTTTGTCGATAAGATCAATGCTGCAACAGGCTTCACTGAGTTTGCTTTAACATCCAAGTCTGTTTGTGTGTGTTTGTGTGTCGCTCACAGTGGAGCTGAAAGACCACCTACAGAGCTTCGTGGAGGAGACCAATGCTCAGCACGGCCCGGGGTTCGTCAAGGTGGTCCGCCATGCGAAGCAGGAAGGACTAATCAGGTCCAGAGTCAGCGGATGGAGGGCAGCCTCCGCTCCTGTCGTTGCTCTGTTCGATGCACACGTGGAGTTCAACACGGGATGGTGAGCAGCTCAATTCAGTTTACACTGTATACTGTAACTACAGCAGTGTAAAACTGCAAGTTAAAGCTACGTCAAACAGTTATATAGCCAGAAAAGGTCACCTCAGTAACCTTGTTATGTTCCCCTGGTGGCAGCCAAGGAGTCTAGCTTTCTTGATCCCTGAGGCTAAAGGATATTTTTATTATTGTCAGCAAATTCAGATACATGTTTTTCCTCTGTACCATAAATGCCTTAAATTACGCATACACAACCCTGCTGCTGTAGATGCTCATGATCCTATTGACACGATCCTAACCCTAAACCCTAAACCTAACTGTAAACCCTAACCCGTTTGATTCTCAAAATAAGAGTTTGATGGTATCAGTGCTTCAGGTATTAATCAGAGTTGGGAGGAGTATTGAGATTAACACATTGCTTTTGTTCTTTTCATTGGGTGAGTTGACAATAACAGAAACAGGGATATCAAACGCAATCACTGAAGGGGCCATCTTAAAAAGATAAAAATGAGTGAGTGATGGGGAGGGTAACCCTAGCAACGTCTCTCACAGATCCCATTTGTTCTGTTGTTTTGTAAACACCCTTACATTTTCCGCAGGAGAGCGGGTTGGTTTAGAATACTGAATGTTGCTAGGGATTGAGGTTGTGGACAATATGGAAGTGGACCAGTAGGCTATGGGATATACTAGAAAATCAAAATCATCTTTTGCAGGCTGGGAAAATTGTGGCGCGGGCCAGAAGAATCCTCCATCTTTTGAGTATCAAAAATACATCCCCTGTAGACTTAGCAGAGAACACCATTACGTCTCAAATTATTCCTGTAACAGAATACACTCTGTGTGTTCAGTTTGGTCCAAATTCTCTTTGTTCCTCCACAACCAACGGCACAGATCTCATTACAGCTTCAGGGAGGACCACATCAATGTCTAACCTAGCATGAATTGTATGGATGGGGTACATGATGAGCAGTATAAAAACTAAACAACAACATTGCTGCTTATTAAGCCTGTCACATAACACAAAGTAAAATTAAATTCTATCTCATTTAAAAATTAAAGTGTAACATTTGCATTTTCAATAATAATGGATAATTTAAAGGTCAAGTGTGTAAGGGAGGATCTATTGTCAGAAATGGAAATTTAATATTCATAAGTATGTTTTCATTAGTGTATAATCACCTGAAAAGTATAATTGTTGTGTTTTTGTTACGCTGGAATGAGACGTTTTTATTTAAGGAGGGTGCTGGTAACCTAGTATATAACACAGTAACCTTTAATAAAACTGCATGGAAACAGTTTAACCTTTGAATTTCTTTACTGCTTCAGCATAGAGCTAAGTATTAGTACTATGGAGGTTTTATTGGAGAAAAATGTTTTTCTGCACCAAAGTCCTCAACATACCTAAATATACCACTTCTGTGTTTCTTTATTGCCTCCTCTTAGCTCCAAGGCTCCACCAGAAGTAGTGTATTTCACGCTTTAATGTAGAAGCGTTGATTGGTGGGAACAAACTGAACAAATGGCTTGGAGGCAGAGAAGTGGCAAACAGGTAGAATGTATGACATCTTAATTAGGAGGCCATTGGATGATGTGCACTGCTACAAATGTGTATTTTACATAAAATCCTCCTTGCCTTGTGTAGCTGTAAATGGCTACTTGACACAGCCTGCTGTAAACACTGGGACAAAGAAAAGAGAAGGAAATTGAGGGAAAAATGAATGTAACCATTTATTCAGCAGCCACTTTATTTGAAAGGTTGCTGATTAAATCAGAAAAGAGGCATCATTTCACTGTCTGGGCATTTGTTTTTCCTCAAGACACATTAGTTTATTATGCAGTGAAGAATTTTAACACCGAATGGGACAGAACAGTCTGTTTATAAGCTGGTTTGTGAAGGGACAATTCAATTTTCCCCAGTCTTTTTGAGTACTATGGAGAACTGATGTAGCTGTAACCCATTTTCTCGTAAATTCATCATTCAAACAGGTGCAAACCTTCAGCTCCAGAGAGCCACAGAGGCAGCTGTGACATATTTATTAGTATTTTGGGTCACACAGTAAGTTGATTATGTGAGAGACTGGCAATAAAGTGATTTAATTCCAGGCTCCCTGGTGTATGAAAGAGAACTACAGGTGGTTGAGATAAGTTAAGTAGTTGAGGTTGTTGTTGTGGTCCAGTAAGGCCTAATTAGAAGCGCAGGTGGTCTTTCCTTGGTGCAACAACCTGCATCCTCAGTCACTGCCTCACAAAAACACCCCTAATCCAGATGTGAATGGATGCTCATTAAACCGAAATCTAGACTTGGTAAAATAAATATTTAGCCACTTTTAAAGCTGATCTCAACATCTTATTTTTTAAGATTTGACACTGAATATTGATGCTGCTACTTTCAAGGTTTCCTGGAAATTAGAACCTAATTATTTTTGATATCAGCTTAAAGGACCAGTTTATAGGATTTAGTGACATTTAGTGGTGAAGTTGCAGGTTGCAACCAGTTGAATACAGCTCAGCCTTCCAAACATGATAGAAAGGCTCTATCTAGAGCCAGTGTTTGGTTTATTCTGGATTACTACAAGGGGGTTCAACATGGTGATTCTTATATTCAGGTGATCATACACATAATAAAAACATATATATATATATATATATAATAAGAATAATATATTCATTTTTTGACAATAGATCCTTCTGAATGTTACACACTTATGACTCACATACCTCACTCTGGCAGATTGATGCTCCAGTGTTCTTCTGTCTCTCCCACTCTCTAAACCCACACATTTTAGCCGTTTTCAGACCTTTTAATGCAGAAATATAACATCTGATGGTCACCCACAATTCAAGGAACCATAGTTACAGCTCTTGTTTTACCAACAATTTATAAAGTATTTACATGATGAATATGTTTATTGTTATCATTAAAACACATTTCAACCTGTCATCTGATAGCCCAGCCCTCACTGATATTGTAAAAATGGTGCAGTCCGAGGTCTAGAAACACACAGGGCCTTTCTATGTGGAGTTTGCATGTTCTACCAGTGTCTGCATTGGTTTCCTCTGGGTGCTCCAGTTTCCCCCAACATCAAAACATGAATAATGCATACATCATTTCTCCAGTCAGTGCCCCTGATTAAGGCACTGGCTTGGATGTGGAGTTGGACCCTGGGCACTGTTCAGTGGATGCCCACTCTTTCTGGTCTATGGGTTAAACGCAGAGGAAAATTCCACTACGTTGTGTTGTGTCTGTGGACTGTATTGTAAACAATAAAGTTGATTCTATTCTATTGATAAAAATGAAAAAATACTGCCCTTATGATGCCATTATATTGCAACCTGCTGGAGGATTATGGCCAAGAGCTTATGTGAAATTGCCTGTGGTGTTATTAGAGCTAATGGGGGGTGGTGGTGCTGGAGCGGGTGTAGACGAGAGGCCCAATTTGGAAAATTGTTCATAATTCCAAATGGCTGGCCCAAGTAATTTCCACACATGTTGAAAAATATGCATTATGCTATTTAAAGAATTACAAATCATTAACAGGGTGGTTTAACAGTTGATTGAGCAGGTTTGTACAATACATCCAGGTCTCATCTGTTGTTTTTCTGCTCCATGGGTTTTTAGCCACTTTGCTTTAGAGCAGGCTCAGGTTTGCGTTTTGTTCAAATGTTCACAAAATGAAGCTGAGACAAAAACATCAAATGAACCTTATTAAAGTGTATAATTTCTACTGGCTTAGGAGTCACATATTTTCTAAAGGTCTTTTTTCTTTGTTTGTGGCACCATCATCATCATTGAAAATTACCCACAACATGGAATGTCAGTAACTTGCTGTGGGTTGTGTGTGTTTCAGTAGAGCTGCACAGCAACATCAATAATGTCAAGAACTGCTTCTTTCATCAGAACTGATGTTGAACAATGATGGGACAGGCTGCTCTCATGTTTGATGGATTTACTTTTTCGCTGTACTCTCAAGAGTAATTACTGTTCTGAATGACATTGGACAGTCCAATCTGCTGTAGAGTACAGTCCTGTACAGTCAGACAGATCTGAACTTAACATGTCAGTGACGACTACATTAGCTTGTCAATTGCTTTTCTTGTCAAATGTTTTTTTGTCATCAGAGAAATATGCCAGTTTAAGACGTTAGCTCCCCCGATTTTAGATTTCAGAAGGTGAGTATCTGTGTTGTCTCTGTGTGCCCTGGACAGAGTTAGGTTCAGGACAAATGTATATAGTGGCCCAGGGGCTGCACACAGCATCTCAAAAGATGTTTTTATCCTAATACTGTAAATAAAAACATCGTAGTTACACATTCTCCTTTTTCTTGCACAGGGGCAGGTTTGCATACAATTATAACTTTACCATGAACAAAACTAGCTGACTATCTTGCTAGCTAACATGATAAGCATGAAAAAGACCATCCATTTAGTGTAGCAGAGCCTTTCCAGTGAGGACTATAAGGACTTATAGTCGGTAAAAGCGGTTAACAGGAATACAGCTGCAGGTACCTATGGAGTAGGTTTTTAATTTATAGTTGAGTGTCAGGTTTTACCTATTGATATCACCACCAATTAAGGCATGTACTGCACATGATCACGTCATATTGGGCTTTAACTATATCCTCTAGAATAACAGTGTGTACATTGTTTAATTTACTCACTGATACAGAGCAACTGTGATATACACATATACTTAAAGAACAAGTATTACATCCAGGTAACATTAGATCTCTTTACTGAGCGAGCTACTGTTGTGTGACCAGGCTTGGGGAGTAACGGATTACATGTAACAGGAGTTACATAATCAGAATACAAGAAAAGTTAACTGTAAACCATACAGAAAAAAAAGATGTAACCAGATTACAGTGACATACAGCATATTAAAAATGGGGATTATTAGCAGACTTAAAATTTTAAATACATTTAAAAATAAAACACAATATGTGCGAATGCACAGTGTCTTCATATTACATACAAAACTTGCATGTTTATAAGTTTATATAAGTT